CTTCTTTGCAAAATGGCCACTTCTCGCTCGTTCATTTCATTTTTTGCCTTCAACGAAATAAGTAAACTATTAACTCCAAGTAAGTACATATTATCGATTTGTTTTATTTATTTATTTTTTTTTGTATGACATAGTAAAACTAGATTTTACACTTAAAGAAGATTTTAACAATTTCCATTTAATAGCAAAAAAAGTATAAGTAAATTTTCTTTTCTCATATTAATTGAGATTAATTTAAATTTTGCATCAGAAAAATGTCGTACGCCGGTGCTTAATATGATGATAACGTATTATTTCCTTTTGCGGTTTCCACCAGAGGGTTAAATTCAATTTATGATTTCAACCCAAAGATGGTTTAAAGGTGTCTGAGATTGAAGCAGAATATATGATATAACCTCAATTTGTGTGTACTGTAACGTGTTCATTATAATCTGCTTTCGAATTTCTAGAATGGCGGACGCAGCTCCAGCCCGTGGTGGTTTTCGTGGAGGATTCGGTTCACGTGGTGGACGTGGTGGTCGAGGTCGCGGGCGTGGCCGTGGACGTGGAGGCCGAGGACGCGGGGGAAAAGAAGATTCTAAAGATTGGGTCCCAGTTACCAAATTAGGGCGTTTGGTTAAGGACGGAAAAATACGTTCATTAGAAGAGATCTACCTGTACTCTCTGCCTATCAAAGAGTTCGAAATCATCGACTTCTTCTTGGGTGCTGCTCTTCGTGATGAAGTTTTAAAGATTATGCCAGTACAGAAGCAAACTCGTGCTGGTCAACGTACACGCTTTAAAGCGTTTGTCGCTATTGGTGATAACAACGGCCATATTGGTTTGGGTGTTAAATGCAGCAAAGAGGTTGCGACCGCTATCCGTGGAGCAATTATTTTGGCAAAATTATCTGTGGTGCCTGTTCGACGTGGTTATTGGGGCAACAAAATCGGTAAGCCTCACACAGTCCCTTGCAAGGTAACGGGCAAATGCGGCTCTGTATCAGTACGTTTGATCCCAGCACCTCGTGGCACTGGCATTGTATCTGCCCCCGTCCCTAAGAAATTGCTTATGATGGCTGGTATTGAGGA